GACGACGTTGAAAAGCTAAAATTCTTGCCCTCTCCGGGACTCGAACTCCGACCCCTCGGTCTTCCGGCCGGTAGCCAGTCGCTGTACCAACTGCGCTATTCTGGCTCCACCTATTTACTAGACGGACATGAATGCTGAGTTTCACGCTTCGGCCTCTTTATTTCCGATACACACTGGATAACAATTTGTATGGCGTGGACTTGACTGTTTGAAATTAACCAAGCCAAATCATAGTGGCTATATTTACCTCAAGAGAAATGGCATTCAGAAATGTAACCATTGTTTATAGCTTCGAGTTTTTGTTTTATACATTAGTGTTTTTTTTTCAGGAATGCCACTACAATGTAAATAGCGATATAATAACAATCATGATTACAGCTTCTACAAGAATTTGGATATAAGCTTTTAACTGGAATAGTGCGTGATTTTATTTAGGCTATATATAAATATATAATATAGGTCTAGGTAAGCACTATAATTTTCTGTAAGTGGCTCCACTACACTTAATTTTAGTGCGTAGGGCTGATCACCATTTCACGAATTAGCCCCAAGCGCACAGGGGGGTAGACGAGAAATTACACTCTGCGTGTCCCACACTACGGCGCTTCCCAGGGGCACAGGAGAATGTGGGTGAATTTGTACAAGAGTCGTGAAGAATACACGAGTGAAAAGGTAAAAGTAAAGAAGCTGTCTCTGTACTTAATTAGTTAAGCAATATGGCATGAGGGGAGCCGGGATAACGTAGTCAGTATAGAGTTTAAAACTAACGTAAAAGTAAAATTGTTCTTGTGCTTAAATACTGAGGCAGCATGCTATGAAGACGTATGGAGAGTGGAGGGATAGCTCCTCCGTTCTTGACCTCGACCCTAGATAGAAGTGAGTGATCATTTTCACCCCCCGTTCGTTTTATCTCAGGGGAAATAGCCGTCGAAACGCATTGGATAGAAGGCTGAGTGGGTCCCAGAGCCGGTCTGAACGTTCTGGAAAGATGAAAAATTCTTTCCCCCGCTGGGAGTCGATTTCCGGCAGAAGAGCAGCCTACAAATATGGGTATCCAATCTCGTGCGTTAATAGTCTAAGCCAAAAGGCTTGGCAGATAACTGATGTTGCTTGGCAACTAGAATGGGGTCAAAACACTAGCAGGAACATAATGATATGTCGAATATTCTTTCACGGTGAACAAAAGCATTTGTATATTCGAATGAGTTCTTCTGAATGCCCTGGAGGTATTTCCCACACGGTATTGTGGTGCTACAGTTTTTCCGGAGAATGCCGTAGCAATTATTCACAGTCCAGTAGAAACTATTGTACACCTCCCACATTCCATCTTCAGCCTGAGGCTGGTTCACAGAGAATCCGCGTAAGAATAGGTGTGTCAGTACTACAGCACTCTGCCTCAAAAGATTTCCAAGAAAATACACTTAATTACCGAGCCTCCGGGACCTGGAGCTAAGTCCATCTTGAGAAGTTCCTACTCGCCCAGAAGGACAAGAAATTTCTTGGCTTCTATGGAAAACGGAGGCTCATTAATGTGCTCAAATGGACCCTGTACTGAGACAGTTTATACGTGCAATTACGTCATATTTCTATCAATTACGAGTACTATCTTCCTGTATATTCCTATTTCCACAGTTGGTTTCTTCCTTTCAGGTTTCGCGACAAAGATTTTGCATGCATTTCTTGTCTCTACCACGTGTCTTATATGTCCGCTCATGTCATTTTCATTGATTTTGATGATGCTAAAAGAAAATAAGCCGGTCACGGTAGCCGAGCGGTATAAGGCATGTACTGTCTTCGCTCGCTTGGAAACCGGGATCGTGGATTCGAATCCCACTCAGGGCATGGATGTTTAGTTTGTGTGCATGTGTTTTTCTGTGTTTGTGTACAGGTAGAGGCCTTGCGACGAGCTGATCACCCGCCCAAGGAGTCCTACCGTATGTGTAAGATCTAGAAAAACCGAAGTGAACGGAGAAGTTCATGGAGGTAGGCCTAGGCCCACTGGGGCTGTAGTGCCAAGGGGGGAAAAAAGGAGATAAATTCGTGTTCAAGAAACGGTTGACACAAACGAATCTGGCCAATAACAGAATAATCAGCTACAACAACAGACACTAAGGTGAATAGAGCATATGACACTTTTAAATTAATTTTAAAAATTAGTAAAATCAATTTTCAATTCTCAATTTTCAACTTTTTGTTTCATATATATCTTGCATTTAAATCAACATCTAGATGCTAGAATATAAATGAACATAGAAAGTAGTCACTTTAAGCCTATATACTAGTATATAAATATGTATACACGCTTTACAATTCAGTAATGAAAATCTGTAAATCACAACATCTGAGGATGACCTTATAAGGGTCGAAACATGTAGTGCAATATAAGTTAATAAAATTATAGTTGCTTTAACGGTGGGATTTGCATTATTAGCTCATTAATGTGCTCAAATTGACTCTGTACTGAGACAGTTTAATTCAGTCCACATAATTACGTCATATTTCTACCAGATTTAATACAACCTTCCCGTATATTCCTAGGTTCACAGTTGGTGCCTTCCTCTCAAATTTCACGACAAATATTTTGCATACATTTCTTGTCTCTCCCACGTGTGCTATATGTCCGCCCATTTCATTTTAATTGATTTTGATGATCCTAAAAGAAATTGGCGTCTCATGTCTTATTCTCTTAGGTAATGCCAAAGAACCCATGCAGGTCCAAGATCTTGTAAAATTCTTCTGTTAGTCCCATGCCCAACCAGCCAAAGGACTGCCCATTTTCGACTGTATTAGACATGCAGCCTCTCTCCAGGCATGAAGACCACCACCTGAGAATGGGCCATAATTGCTAACAAGGGACCCACTAAACGCTGATCTGACCTAACAAGAAAATACCGCCTCCTTCCTAATCCTTCACTGCTTATTGTCCAAAATGATCTTAGATCTCTGTAGTTGAAATAACGTTAAATACGAGTATACTACGAATTAATCAGCATTGAAGAGCGAAGAGTTGTTCACTTTTCTGAATGTAGGTTTTCTTGACTGAGATATTGTTTTCACTTAGGACTATTACAGAAGTGACATATCGTATACGAAAAACAAACTGAGAACACTCTCTGATTAATTATTACACTTATATTATTTCTCTTATACGATGTTTAATTATTCCAGTGACTAAATCTTGTAGGTAAAATGATTTCCTCCATGAAGCCTTGAGGGTCAAAACGTGTCGCAATCGTAAAACTCCCAGCATCCGTAACCTAGTTACGCAGTTAGTAACCCCATGAGGAAAGTTAAATATTCTGGGAGGCCATAGTATCGGTCATTCTACTCCACATTATGTACATGTACATGTGTCCTATTTAGAACTGTTTCCGAGATAGAGCTATTTCCGTGTACACTGTACAGACGAGCAACACGCCATGTCCTCACACGAGTTGCAAAGTGCATCGATATTAACGGTGGAATTTTCGAAGATGTATTACACTACGTAAACTCTACCAACGTTGTCACTTGAACAATAAATACAGGTATTAGAAACAGTACGTAATATCTCTTTCTTGTCAACAGTTTTCGGACTGTACAGTGAAATAGCTCAATCTCGGAAACCGTTCGGAATAGGCCACATGTACATATACACTATTTTCGTTAGTATGACCGAGTTTAGACCGCCTCTGTGGTCTAGTGGTCAGAGTTCTTGGCTACAGATCCAGTGGTCCGGGTTCCATTCCCGACACTACCAGACTTTCTGAGAAGTAGTGGGTCTGGAACAGGGTCCACTCAGCCTCGTGAGGATAACTGAGGAGCTATTTCAAGGAAACAGCGGCTCCGGTCTAAATACCGAAATTAACGGCAGTGGAGATCCGTTGCACTGACCACGCGACACCCTCTATCTGCTAAAGTTGGCACTAACTTCGCCGAGAAGAGGCAGTCACTCGGTCGGTATAGTTCGCTTGCGGACTAAAACCACGGAGTTTGTTTTTGGTTTTGATCGACACCGATCTCCCAGAATATTGACCTTTCTTCCTGGGACACACTGTATAACTGTATAACAATTTCAGATTCAAGGTATTATATATAGAGGCGATCTAAAAGAAAAATAATTTTGTTTTAAAGTCTCCTTCTTCGCCTTTATATTCTTCGCTTCTTTCCTTTTCCTCCCCTTCTTATTTCTCATTTCATTCCAGTTCTCTTCATACTTATCATTCTCTTTTCTTTCTTTTCCACATACGTCTTCTTTCTCCCGCCTTTTCTTACCTCCTAATCATTCTCTTACCAATCTTATTTTTTTTCCCTTGGCACTACAGCCCCAGTGGGGCTAGGCCTACCTCCATGAACTCCGTTCACTTACGTTTTTCTAGATCTTACACATACGGTAGGACTCCTTGGGTGAGTAATCAGCTCGTCGCAAGGCCTCTACCTGTAGACAAACAGAGAAAAACGCACACAAACATCCATGCCCTGAGTGGGATTCGAACCCACGATCCCGGCTTCCGAGCTCGCTCCGGCCGTGACCGGCCAGCAGTCTTATTAGCTTCCTTAATTATTCTATTTTCAACATTTCCTTTTGTTCCTATTTTGTCTCTTCCTACTTCTTTCATTTTATTACTTCTTCCTCTTTCTTTTCTTTACTCTCGCTTTCCTTGTCACATTCTTCAAGGCCGAGGTTTGATTTCCGGCAGGGCAAGATTTTTCTCTTGTCCACATCGCCCAGACCGACTCTGAGGCCCACCCAATCTCCTATACAATGGGTACCAGCGGCTCTTTCCCCAGGGTGAAGAGATGGAGGCGTGCAAGACGACCACTCGCTTCCATACATTGCCGAGGTCAAGAACGTTGGAGCTATACCTCCACTTCCCCATATGTCTTCATATCATGGTACTTAATTAGTTAAGCACAGGGCAACTTTTCCTTACCTTCCTCCTTCTGTGAGCCCTGATGGGCGCTGTTATATAATGGGAGTCCGAAAGGGCTTATTTGTACGTTGACGTGTTCTTCTGCAGCTTGGGGAGCTGAAGTCCAAGGAACGCACAATTCTGCAGCTGGAACGGCAGCTGAACCTGCAAACTGGACGGGTCCAGGAACAACGCGAGCGGCTGCTCAAGCGCCAGCACGAGGCTCACACCCGTGAGGTACGTCTACCCTTGTCAACAGTTCATTAGAACGCCGTAATCTCACAGCTTAGATCTGAACTGGATCGGACAACTTTACTCCAATAGGTTCCACATATGTTTCACAAATCAAGTTTCACCTGGTGTCAATCACAGTGGCTGCGTGGTCTAATACCTGAACTGTCTTCGCCCGCAAGAACACCAACTACGCTACCGCCGTGGTAGCGTAGTTGGTTGAAGCACTATGCTATAAGTCGGAAGGTCGCGGGATCGAATTCCGATGAGGTGGATTTTTTCAATTGACCTAATCCTTCCAGCCGCACTTTGTCCCTGGGGTCGACTCAGCCTCTAACCTAAATGAGTACCAGGAATATTCCTGGGGCTAAAAGGGCTGCCGGCGCCTAAGGCTGACAACCTTACCGCCATCTTTGAGCCGATTGTGTAGATAATGTGGGACCCTCAACGTTTCACAACCCTATGGGCCTTCACAGCCTGTTACAGGGATACCTTTACTTTTTTATTTTACTTATAAGGATGAATGTTGGACATGAAACATTCATAGCAGAGGCAAGGTAAAAAAGTTAAAGTATCTTCTGTCCCTAATTAACTAAGTATCACGCCAGGAATGCGTATGGGGGAGTGGATGTATAGCTCCGTAATTCTTGACCTGAGCACTAGACGGAGGTGATTGACTAGCTTCACGCCCCAGCCGCTTTAATTCCGGGGAAACAGCCCCTGTGTCCATTAGATAGGAAACTGGGTGTATCCCAGAATCGATCTGAGGGCATTGAAGATGACAAAAATCTCATGCCTCTGCCGGGAATCTGTCCCGAGCCGTCCAGCCGTGTAGTCCGTTGCTGTACCGAGTAATCCAGGTTAACCATTTAAACACAAATTACTTAAATAACTGCATTGTTGTCACTATATCCAATACAAATCCTAAGTGGATTATTCTGGGATTTAACCTTAGCCTTAAAGGGTAAAGGGGATACGCGGTAGCGTAGTTGCTACAAGCCGAAAGGTCGCGGGTTCGATTCCTGATTAGGTCATTGAATTTAATCTTTCCATCCCCACTATGGCCATGGGGTTGACTCAGCCTCTAATAGAAATGAGTACCAGGAATGTTCCTGGGGAGTAAAGGACGGCTGACGAGTAAGGTTGACAACCTTACCGCCATCTGTGAGACGACTGTCTAGGTAATATGGCAGCCTCGACGTCTCACAATTCTATGGATTGCTTTGCCTTAAAGGATAAAACGCAACAATTGCAGTGCCTACTTAGTTACACGCTGGTTGATAGCTTACGTAGCCAGGCAGTTCTTCGGAATGTAGTTCGAATGTGTAATCGTTTTTAATGGCCGTACTGTATGCTATCAGAAGCCAGTAACCACGCCACAGTCTATGAGTGCTGACTCGTGGCACGGTAACGGGATTGCATCTCGATACGTAGCGCAGTGATGCAACACACTTGCGACTTCCGCTATTGAAACACAGCAGGTCATGTTCCATTAGGACGATTCGCGCTGCCAACTCATCCGAATCGTTCAATTAATTACGGCTGCAAGCTCATGTTTCGGTCAAGTGAGGTTATCGATTGATTCTTCGATTATTATCGACACATTTTTCAACATTATAGATTACAGGAGTCGAATGATGGACAGTTGTATGAATAATAAGTTGTAAAAGATATGGAAGGAAGTGGTCGGTACATATTTTAAGGCACCACAATACTTTCCTGAAGAAATTGAGGAAACACAAAAACAATAACGATACAGGAGCGGGATAAGGGTAAATACATGTAATGTTTAACAGATGTAGGGCTATAGCTCACACGGTTAGTCGCTGAATTTCGTTCTGGGTTCAATCCCATGTGGGATTTTTGGTGGACAAAGTAGCACTGGGGCAGGTTTCCTCCGAACACTTCGGTTTCCCCTGCCAGTTCTCATTCCACCAACTGCTCCATATTCATCAATCATCGTATTGTTGGTTCTACATAATCTTGATACTGGCTACGGGTTAGACGACCGAGGGGTCGAGTCCCGACAAGGATCAAGAATTCTTTTCTTCTCCAATTGTTCAGACCTGCTCTTGGAATCCATCCAATGTCCTATCCAACGGCTACCGGGGGTAAAGCGGCCGGGGCATGGAACTGACCATTTACCTCCAGCTAGTGCCGAGGATCTATACACCCACTCTTCCATACGCCTTCATGGCGTAGTTAAATATAGGAACAACTTTACTTTTGTAAGTTTTGAGGTTTTCACGGCGATGACAATGAAGAAACGTCGGCCAAAACGAAGAATACACGGTGCCTAAACCCAGAAGACAACTTTCTTCAACTTTACTTTTCTTTACATAGTCCTAATACTGAGAGAGGCGATGAATAACCAACTTAAAATAGAAACATAAGTGTTGTAGGGGACAAAATGACTAATTCGTTTTCAAAACTTGAACTACTGGAACACGGAATCCCGACTTCGAATCCAAGACCTCTCAAGGGCGTGCCATAGGTCAGTTGATTAAACACGAACTTCTCACAGCGGAGGCCAGTGTACAGGCCCGAGCTAGTTCGGGTGGAATTTGTTATAGAACTGAGTTTCCTCTGAATATTTCCCCTGCCACATTCATTTTCCTTCCGGCTATTTCTTCTCTTGTCCAGTATATATTTATTTTTGTCTCCCGTAAAACTTTTGGGCCCAAATATTTTTCTGAACGCTTTCCTTTCTCTCAAATGAGACTGCATTTTCCACACATACAACTAATTCACCAGAACAGAGTCCTTCTTGAGAAGCCAATCGCTCAGTCAGTCAAGCAGTCCCTGACGTTATATGGAACTCTTAATTTCACTGTTGTGATCACAAGAAATTGCCACCGGACCTCATCCTGAGCCAGATGAATCCAGTGTACAGCCTCCTACGCTATTTCCTTTACATTCATTTTCAGCCTACTTCACCTATTTTGAAAATAAAAATAAAAGTATACTTAAGAGATCAACTTGCTGCCTGTGTGTCTGTGCATACCTCTCTGTCACTACTAGGCAATGACTCGGTAAACACGTTCCTGCGTCAACGAATACGAGTGCAACAATAGAATTGTTGGACGCGTCGTTTTGTATGCAGTCCATATCGTATCACAGGAAATCGGGAGATTCTTTTAGAAAGTTATTGTAATATTATACTTTGACCTATAGGTAATCATTCTAAGTAGCAAAAGTAGTTTTATTTGTCGTGGTGTTCTGTGGTTTGGGAAGTATACTCAGCTATCGGTAACAATTAATTAAATGAATAGTAATGAGTTTTTTTTTATTTAAATTCTGCACGGGCTACTGGCCTTGTTCACTGGCTCATGTGTCTTTTTCTGTCCGATACGTGTTTAGTAAACCACATCGCGTCTGTGCCTTTTCTTCTTCACGCTTCGACACAGAAGACAAGTAGAACATACGAATAATTCAAATAATGAACGCGTATTCCGAATGTGAACACTGAACTGACTCCGATAAATGTATCAGTAAGTGTGGGCTACGTTCAGAAAGGAATGAAGTGTGCCGACTTCAAACTTGTGTAATTTAATGTTACTTCTTCCATGCGCAACAGGTAGAAACGTAGGAGGGGGAGAAGTAAGTCAAGTTTTCTCTTTTCCCTTTCTCATATTTCCTCCTATTCTTTATCAGCTTTTTCTTATATACCTTCATTTTTATACTTTTATTTCTTATTCTGTTTTCGTTGTTGTTTTGATGGTGAGTTTGAATGGAAACAAAGTTTTGCGCACGCGCAGTTTAATAGCTTGCTGTGAACAAGTGGCTGGACTTGGCAACTCGTCCGGGTCACGGCACACAGTTGCCCACCTGCTGAAGCAGAAGACGGAGGTGCAACAAGTGAAACTCTACAAAGCGTTAGAGATAATTCGTTGCCGCGACTTCGTAAAATTTCATATTATATACGTATGACACATATCGTATAATAGTTCTATTTATTATATAAAAATTTAAAATACTATAAATTATAATTACAATAGTTTGCAAATAAAGTAAATTAAATAAGAATTTTATTGAATTTGTTTCTACTGATTAATGTCGAAAAGAATGCTTAGATCGGACGCTCTGTGCCTTTGCGTGTAATTTTCGAAGTTGTATATTTTTAAAAATTAAAATTAAAGCCGTATCCAACTCTTTTATTCAATTTAAATTCTAATTATTTGATTTACAGAACCTTTTTTGTAGAAAATGAAAATTAACTGAAAACATATGACAAGAACTGGACAATTTCGAGTTACTATAAGGAGTTTCCGAGGGAACAATAAAGTCTATTCGTATGACTTCAGAATGTTTATAAAGTGTGGCAAGTTGGGTGTAAGCTCGAGTGGACCTAAAAGTAACCATGCATGTGAAACGCTCCATTTTGTGTTCTAATATTGTGATGTGATTTTGATTAATTTTCGCTCGCAACTTCAAAGGACTATTAACGATTTCTTGGGTGGTGGGGGGTACAGTCAAAAAACCCGTTCTTGTAGCACATGAACTTTATGGCGCAAACTGGACATGGACCCCCCGTCGGAGCTTTGACTGACCAGCAAAGGTATGTTATCGTTTTGTAATCGATATGTGAAGTTTCTCTTTTTTTTAATGGCTATTAAAGAAATAGGCCGTGAAAATGTCAGTTAAATTGAACTGCCTTTGATAGGATACAACGAAAAAAAGATAATGTCGAAAGTTTTAATTAAACCTGGAATCTTTTTAATATTAGTTTGATATAAAAATGAAAGTGATAAAAATATTTTACTGTAATGGCAACTGATATTCCGATGACAGAAGCAGACACAATATTCGAAACGTTAATGATCACAGATATACAACACCTCGTATGGACAGCCCTATATAATTTTCATGTCATTTCAGTTTATGGACATAAACCCTACCTATATTGTTGATAAAACGGCATACGGAGTGACCAAAATTGGTGCTCGAGATGAATACTTCAAGCTTTGTAATATTTCTAACAGAATCTCTTCTGCAGCCTAAGTAGG